GTAAAGTATCGACAAATTAATTTATTTGAATGCTACAGAAAAAGCTTAGAAGTAATTACTTGAAATTATTTCGATTTATTTTATTGTACAAAGTGTTTGAATCAAATTTTTTTTTTATTTTGCTTTTATCGAGTTTGATTTGTCTCGAGCAGTTGGTACCCGATAATTATTTGTACTCGCACATTTAACACAATCTATAATAATGCATGTATTTTATTATCTGTAAATATAGTCGTTCGTAACCACATTTCCATCAAAATAGTTATATCCATATATTTTTCAATAAAGAGATATATTTCTTAATAATGAAAGAACATGTTTCCTCGCGTGAATTTCGATCTCGTGAATTGAAGATAATAACAATGGTAACTGTCGTTGATTCGTTACCGAAATCATTGCTGTCGGGAGCAGTCCGGAAGATCCGAGATTCGTTCCCTCTTGCAGCGGCTCTAACGTTTAACGAATCGCTTAACTTTTCTTTGCGAATCGATCTTACAAAAATTGATGTAGAAACAAGACGTTGGTCGTTCTTCATCTTTAGGATCGTTCTTTTTTTTGTCGGATATTAACCAGCGTGTCACCCGGCGCGACGGAGGGAAGGCCTTGTTAAAATTATTGGGTCTGTTAATCTCTATAAAACGTGGCAATAACGCGATTTTTTATAACAATATTTTATGTCTTATAAGACCCATTTTATCCTGTTAAAACAGTCATCCGCGAGATAGAATATACATATATCTTATTGTTGATCGCGTGTAATTATATCGCGCGTGCGTACGTGTGTGAGCTTCAATTATTATAGAAATTACGCGTATCGTAATCGAATATTACGAATATCGTCGATTTATTTATTCGTCACGTTTCCTCGCGAATTTTAAATCGCGATTTATTTTATAATTTAATCGTTGATTTACATCGAAGCTTTGTCTATCTTTCCGCATCTTAAATATTTATTTGAAAATCTACGCAAAATGCGCCAAGTAATGCAAGTTCTTTTTCTTCTATAATTAAAAGATGATTGATAACTTTATTAACGACTCTTTTAAGAGTGAAAGTTAAGAATTTCTTTTATATTTCGTGGCGTGCTATACAGGATTCTAATTAAAAAGTCGGAAATGCAAAAAAAATCTACTTATCCTGTTACTTGAATGTGTCTTTATGCAAAAAATTATGAAAAAGCTCTACCGTCAATAGCCGAAAAAACACTTTTTGGTACATTTGAAATTGGTTATTAACTGGTTTATTTCAAAACCTATGGAGCGAAATACAATCATTTTGATCTCATTTGAAAGATAATTTAATACCGAACAAAAAATTTCCGATAACCATGGGTCGAAAAATGCTTCCTTAAAAAGTTAGCGCCCAAAAACCTCTGAAATCACGGTTATTTTTTACATTTTTACAAATATCAGGGAAAGTATGCGTCTTTTAACAAAAAGTACCGAAACAAAAGTTGTAGAGAATTAAATTATCTTCCAAATGACATCAAAGTTATTGTAGTTCCTTCCATAGATTTTGGAATAACCGTCAATAGCTGAAAAAACACTTTTCGGTACATTTGAAATTGGTTATTAACTGGTTTATTTCAAAACCTATGGAGCGAACTACAATCACTTTGATCTCATTTGAAAGATAATTTAATACC